TAAATTGCTTTTTTCATACTTTTTAAATTCGTATTTTTTTAAAACGTAAATATATAGAATATTAAAAGTATTATATAGAAAAACATATTTGTAAATATATTTGTTTCTTTTTTTAATTTTCACAGTTCACAATTGCATAAATATAAACTTTCAATCATTTTTGCATAAATATTTATATTACATATTCTTTTAGTTAAATTCATGTTGTTATGACTGCAATATTAACGTAGCTTAAAATATAACAATAATTTGCGTGAAGTTGGAAGCGTAATGAAAAATAAAAGAAATATCTTTTTCTCCATTATATGATTTTTTTCCATTTAACTTTAATCTTTCTATATACGTTTCCCTTTTTTATGTTTGCGATAAATTTGCAAAATGTAATCTTCATGACTGCGAAGCTTTTATTGCTCTTGAAAATATTTCTGTATGGTAATCACCAACTCCATAAACACTTGTATTTATAACAGCTCAGGAACACGGCAAATATTTTTGCTGAAAAGATTTAAAAAGTCACAGGAGAATATTTCGCGTCGCTGAAGATGAGGAGCGGCACAATGCCGGGATGGATGGACTCCGAAACGAGTCTCTCGATCGTTGAAACGGGTAAATGCGGCAGCATCGTTTCGACAGGATGACACGTTGTCTGTTTCGAAGTCTTCCAGATTTTTCGGTTCATAAGTCAATGTCTTGACGATTTATCGTCAATTTCTAGGTTTGAGCACATCAATGATTAAACGCACGTTACATTTTTTTTACATACATTTTTTTGTTAACAATTAAGTTTATATTTAGCTGGTCTAACTTTTTATAGAAAAAAAAGTATATTACATGAAATATTTGTAAATTGTTTCTTTTTAACTTTTTTAGTTATTAATTTATCAATTAATTTATCAATTTGCTAAATAATAAATTTCAGTAATATATTTGTTTTCTCAGTTTATTTATAAAACAAAAGAATATTCAGAATATAATGAAGAAATTGAATTAATAACGCGCACAAAATTTCTTCATTGTTTAATAATAATTAATATCGATGCAAAACTATGATATTTATTTAATGCAAATTTTTTATTTTGTTATAATCTATTTTGAATAACAACGGTATTTTCGGTTGTATATTTAAATGAATAGATTAAAAAAAAAGTCCGTTACATATATCCGTACAATGTTTCTATTTTCTATCGAAGAGTTAAAAAAACCGTCGTTCTTTACGCAGGTGCAGATGCACGTTGAGATAAATGGTGGCACGCAATTATCGAAATCACATTTCACCAAGCACTCGAGGAAACTCGATCCTGTTCTATCCTATCGTTCGCGCGCGAAAATCGAGTTCGACTCCGTGTAAAGTGTTCGTATAAAGTGCCAGAACAAGAAAAAAAAAAGAACAATATTCTGTTTCATGGCGTGAGAAAACGATCGTACAGAGACATTCGCTATTCTTCTTCACTTGTTTTTGTAAAACGATGGAGAACGATAACTTTTCTAACGTTTATTTCATAATTTTTCAAAGGAAATTGTTCTGGCATCTTGATATCTTTTAGCTGCTCGGTAGAATGAATGCCTCCGAAAGTTTAAAGGTTCAAAGATATTTCTTTTTAATGTAACATTTATATATAGAAAACTTTTTAAGAAATTAAATGTACATTATAATATGAATTCTGGCAGCTTATCTTAATTTGTATAGTTGTTATGTGAATATTTTTTAAATGAAGCGAAGAAAAAATACGTTATTTTTTTATTATCCATTATATAATGCACAATAATTAAAAGTTTTAGATTAATAAAGAAATAAAATAATAATAACTCAAGAAAAAACGTAATATAAAAATACCTTGGACAAAAATAATTGATAATAACTATTTTATTTTTTAATTTTGACTTAAAAATTATAACACTACATAAAAAATTATTAAAATATTTTATTTATTTGTGTGCAAAATAGTTAATGTTAATAACAATTATTCAACAATGAACTTTTTGAAAAGAAAGTTTTTATTTTTCATATGCACGATGCACTTTATATTGCCGCGAAACGAAGCGTTGCTCTCATAGGAGAGCAATTTTTTTTTTTTAGATGAATGACACGTACTATGATGTAGTTCGTACTATAGTAACTTTATCGACGAGCTGTAGAGAGATATGGAAAGCACCCATTCAAAAAGCTATTTTTCAATTGCACACTGAACTTAACAATTTACAAATGCATCTCTATTTTTAAACGTTTACGTTACAATTTATATGACGCACGCATGGTCGTTTGTAATAAGAAAAGAAATAAAATATTGATACAACCAGGATTTTTACAACTATTGAAAGGAAGAGATAACTTTGATATATTGATGCTTTGTAAAACTACTACATTGATACCGATAAAAATTGTAGACATGCTAGGTTTAAATCCGATGAGATAAAAATTTGTAACTATTTTTGTTACTGACAGCTTTAAAAATGAAGCTATATTGATAAAAATCGATAGAATACCTACTCTAAGCTTAAAATGTTTTGTGTTGCATATGCTATCGATGATCCATGCTGAACTTTTCACTCAAACTGTTTGATATTTTGAGTTTAAGCTGATGCATTAAAATATATCCATAATTCCTTAATTAATACATGAATTTATTTATTTTGTTTTGCATTGCATCGTGTATGTTATTTCTTTATTTTGATAATTATAATTTCAATAGTAAGACATATTTTAAAATTATTATAAAATATATTTTTTTAACGTATGTAAGTTGCATTAGAGGGTATTGCTAATACGATTTGATGAATGGACAATACGTGAGAACAATGCGCGAACAATGCGATACGAAACATATTAAAATTGAGATGAAAACTATATCTTCTTTTTTCATATATTTATTTAAAACAAGATCTCCATCGCAACTTGTTTAATTGATCGCATATCATTACTACAAGATTACTACAAGCTGTAATTATAATATAATTTATTTAATTAACAAGAACTTCATTTGTTACATGTCTACGTAAATTATGGCACGATTAAATAACTTTAAGGTTGCCAACTGAAGTCACTTAAGCACGTCCTGGCTTACTACGATACGATGTATCACGCAAACTGCAATCTGTCTCTATCTCATCAGCCTATGCCGTACTCTTCGCGAGGAGCATTTTCACCGAATTGTTCTTGAATTATTAAAACGCAGAGCAATCAAATGCCGAGTAAACTCCATCTTCGCTTCGCTATCTTCTTCTTCTGTCCGCTTGCTATCGTGAGTCGACTTCGCTCCGCTCCGGGAGAAGCGAGCACAGGGAGATGCAAATAAAATAAGTTTTTGTTGTTTTTTTTTTTTTCTTTCGACTGATTGCAGCCCGATGATCTGGGTATCGCAGTATCGCGAAATGAGGATGACGAGTCACAGCGTCGCGCACGACGTCGTCGCTGACGTCATCGAGAGAGATCCGCAGATGTCGAGTCAGGTGAACCGCGTGCCGATGTGCCTGACGCAGGCCGACACGATCACCAGCGTGACGTTCTTCCTGCTGCTGGTATTGCTCTTCTTCGTCGCGCCCTTCGTGATACTCGTGGTGCTGTATGCGTTTATCGTGAGCCACCTGATCCGCGACACGTCGACGACGCCCGGCGGCGGCGGCGGCACCGGCGACTCGTATCACAGCCGTGCCAGGAGGCAGGTGGTGTACATGCTGCTGACGGTGGTCGTGAGCTTCTTCGTGTGTCTCTCGCCCTACTGGCTCCTCATCCTCTACATCGTGATAACGCCCGCCGAGCGGATAGCCACGATCGATTACGACACGTTCCTCTGTCTGCTCAACTTCTCCAGGATCATGTTCTATCTGAATAGCGCCAGCAATCCGATACTGTATAATCTAATGAGCAGCAAGTTTAGACGGGGTTTCCTGAAACTGTGCGGTTTTGGGAACGAGGGGATCACGCACAGGAGCACGGTCAACGGCGTGATGAGGAGAGTCGCGATAAATCGGCAGGATCAAAATCAGGAAGAGAACTTTCTCTGATCGGACGATATCGAAATACAGTAACGTGTAGTAAATACGGCGACTGTGACGGCGCAATTCACTACATACAGAAAAATAAGCGATTAATATTAGATAATATAATATTAGATAAGATATTAGTATTATTTGTGTTTCTTTCCAAATTTGAGAACCATGTGCAATTTAATACATTACAAAAGGTTAGGAACTATTTTTAAAAAAGTGTTTTACAGTGTAAAAAGATAAAGTATTAAGATTATATTTATTAAGAAAATGTTATGTTGGAAGTATAAAAAAATTATACCTACTAATGGAAGATGTAGGAGGACATTTATACTTATCAAAAAGAGACATTTAGATATCGAAAAAGTGTACATCACAAAAAAGTATTGAAGTATGGAAGCATTGAAGTATGGAAGTACTGAAAAATTACGATTTGTTTTTTACGTTGCAATAAATCGGAAGAAACTTAAAGCTGAATAAGAAGCAAAGAAGTATGTTAAAGATTGATCGAGAAAAACTTTTGACATTCTGTGAGATATTAAACTTCATGAAATTTCGCAAAAGTTAGAAGAATCAAACGAGCGATTCGTGCGGATGGACTCGGGAAGTTTCAACTTTAACTGGTGTGATCTCATTATCAGTATTGCAGGAAATTAAATAGATACAAATCCGTCAAATATATCAAATGTCACGCGAGTATTTTTTTCTTATGTTATTTTCTTGATGTAAAGATATATGGAATTGTTGTGAATATTGTGTGTCAAATAATTTTACCACTCTCTTTCCGCAGCTTTGACTATTTATAAATTTTAAAAATACGTTAATGCGATATTTTTATTGAATATACAGTTTGCATAATAAAAATTTATTTGCGCTATTTTTCGCAAGATATTATATTTTGAAGACGCTCTAAAACGCTTTGCGGCATTCACGTTACGGTTAAATTTACTTAAACTTCGCTGTATGATAAATACAGCGCGTACAATAATCGATCTCTGTCTTTTAAAACTTTCTAGTCCTATATTGCTTATGGTAACCTACGAGTTGGAAGAGAACGTCGACGGTACGTACATTCCCACTTGCACGACGCCGGCCTCGACGACCTGGATGACGGGCTTCATCGTAACGACGATCCTCGTGTTCTTCGTGATCCCTCTGTTGATCCTAATCGTTTTGTACACGGTGATCGCCAGACACTTGATGGCGAACCCGGCGATAAGTCGCGGGCCGGCGAACAATCTGCTCAAGTATCGCAAGCAGGTGGTCATGATGCTGGCCACGGTGGTGCTGTGTTTCTTCCTGTGCTTGCTGCCGTTTAAGGCCCTCACCCTCTGGATCATCATCGTACCACCCAAAATGGTCGTTTCACTCGGCGTGGAGGGCTATTACAGCCTCCTGTATTTCTGCAGAATGATGCTGTATCTGAACTCGGCGATCAATCCCATCCTCTACAATTTGATGTCGACCAAATTCAGAGATGGTTTTCTCAAGTTGTGCGGTCTCGGGCCTGCCAAGAGAAAGAAAAAGAAAACGTCGGAGCGTACCGGCACGACCGGCTCGACCAATTGCAGCAGCAGCCACTCGGACTTCTGGCGAAGACACAGCAGCAACAGGAGTTGCAACGTGAAGGTACCATGCAACGATCACGCGTCCGCGGACAAACAAATCAGATTGCCTTTACTTACGGCCGTCGTGGCTGGAAATATCGTTAAGAAGAAGCAAGAGAGTTACGTTTAATCCCTCATTTAATCAGATCGATAAACGCCAACTGTACTTCACGTAGTTCCTTTTCTATATCGTTGTATGAAATTATTACTGAATTTTAATCAACATATTATCTGGGCATTTGGATATTTTTATTGTATTCTGACGCAGTGATCAATTAACAAACATATTCGTTGAAGATTCGAATAATTGAATTAATTGTACAACGACAAAACTATTTTCTTTTCTTACTTCTCTATACTTTCTTCTTACGTTGAAAAGACTATCATGATATTCCGTGCGATTGCATAATTAAATAGATGAATTATTTATGAATATTAAGTAATTAAGTAAAGTTAGAATGTTTAAATATAAAATATTTAAAAGTTTTATATAGCAATGGATAAGGAATAATTGTTAATTGAATGTTTACTGAATGTAATTTATCATGTTATTAATGTTCGTTTTTAGACACGAATCTAAATGAGATTAAAGTACAATAACTGTATTAGATGTGTATCAAGATTGCGATAATTTTAATTCGATTTTATACGTGATATATTATATATTTGTTGTATAAGTTAATACGGTAAGTAGAAATAGTTCTTCCAAGAATTGCGAAACTTACGAAATAGAAATTTTTTCATACGCGTTTCTTTAGTTCCTAAACGCTTTAATCGTTGTAGATTTAATTAAACAAATATATAAATGCAAATATATGAAATATGAATGAGGTAGAGAATCAAGTATAAAGCAAAACGCGCGTTACTATAAACAAAAGAATTATTTCTAATACTTTGTTGCCTTTTTTTCCATTAATTGGCATTGAGATTGTTCTGTTGTATTTTAGGGATCAGAAATTCGTTATTCCGCCGATGGAATGAGCGATAAAGTCCAACGACAGAAGCAAGATATTGTTAAAAGTCGGCATAAAAGTGAAAACAAAAGTGCAAATTTTGTACATAAATCAGTATTTAATTAAATTTTATCCGGTGCGCCTTGTTATTGAACGCGGTATGTATTATGGTAGGTATTTTCTACGATGCTGGCATCCGAGAAGAAATACTTTTTAACGAGAACATAGGGATATAGATGCGAAGTAGAATTCCTTTTTAAAGCTATCGCATAGTAATGCAAAATAGCAGATCTTAGAAAGATATTTAGAAAGTTAAGAAGCTTCTGTGCAATTGTTATAGAAATGCTCACATATAAAACGTTATAAGAATTTTTGCTCCTTAACGTCAGGTACGCCTTTCTAATAAAATAAATCTGACCTAAATATATGTCATTACTAAGTTTATTCTTAAAATAATAATAATTTAATTGAAAGAAATATATAGATGGCTCCATTAGATGTAACTTAGTGTCATCTTTTTTAAGCAAGTATTAATAAAAATTAATTAAGTTTTAATAAGAATATTGACGCATTTTTACAAGAATTTAATTATTGATTGTTATTTACTATGATATATTACATAAATTATACAATTTATGAATAGATTCATACTTATTCATTATATATTATATTATTTGTTATTATTATATTATTTAATATCAAATTTATCAATTCTTTAATACATTTAGTGAAAGTTTGTTAAAGTTTTGTTAATATTTACATAAAAATTTTATCAATATATTACATTATATTATATTTTCATAAAAAACAATGAAATATTGATAAAATCAATTAAGCTAATAATCAAAAATATCAAATTTTGATACCGGTTGATATACACATCTATGACAAATAAAGTATCAAAATTATGCCGATATCAAATATTATCCGTGCGAGGCTTAATGTATTAAGCTCGGTTTTACTATAATGCGCCTATTACAACAGAGATGATATTTAATTGAACAACGATATCCGAATGTGACTGGTTAGATTTAAAAGTATAAATACAAATATATATATATATATTTGTATAAAGATAAAGATATAAGTGTAAGATATATATATATATATAAATTTAAATATAAATTTAAATAAAAAATGTTTATGGTGCTCATTCATGATCTCTGTTGAATAATTTTTGCGCAAATATTGTATTATTATATTAAAAAACAAAACGGAACGCAAAAATCTTGGATATTTGTGTGAGATTCAAAAGCTTGGATTCAGCATTTTCTCTTGTTTGTGAATTTTTATACTCAAAAGTGAATCTTTTTACAATTTAAGTATGAAACATCAGTGTAAAGATAAATTACCTTTTAAATATATTGGATTAATAATTAATAATTAATAATTAAAACTTGAATAAAATGATCTGTCAAAGTGAACTTCATTTTAGATTTACTAGAAATTTGATTTGCAATCTAATTTGTTTAATTTTTGACATTAAGCTATGAAATTAATTCTCTTAGTAAATGTTAAACTGTGAGAAACCATTTTCTAGTTCATCAAGATATATAATAGAAATTGGAAATGGAGAGAAAATCCATGAATTCTGATCTCAAATGTATTAGAAGAGTTCTGTAATGATAATGTATCTCACAAATATTAATATTTATTAATATTATCTGAAATTCTACTCTTCGTATATTAACAATTCTCTCGCAATTTAAAAGACTTGACAAAATTAATTTTGTTTAGGAAGATTACATAATATTATCTTATCATATAATAAGAATTAAACGTTAAATAAATTAATTATAATCTGAGATTATTTTTTTCTTTTCTGTTAAAAGATTACTATCAAAGTAAATTGCTTATATATTATTAATATAATTAAATATAATTAAATATAATTAAAACGATGCTTTCTAAAACATTTACATAATGACGAGTTAATTGAAGAAAATTTTGAGAGAATTGTAATAACGAAATACGATTAATCTTTATCAGTTGAGACTACAATGTACCATACAATTATAAGATTGTATAATAACTTTGTTAATTTCGATATATCTATAATTATTAAGTAAAATTATTCTAAATTAATGAAATGTCATATTATGTAATTTATTATTATGTTTCCTATAGGAATATAGATCTTAAGAAAAAAAGGAATTTTATTTTGTTAAAAGAGTATGTATGATTTTGTAAATATTTTATATAATGTACAAAAAAATGTTTTTATTAATAATTTAAAATATTTGTTCGTACGGTATTAATTATTCAAAGGACGCAATTCATTATTACAAATATGACTAGTACATTACAGAATTCGAATTATCTGACTATTGTAGTAATATCCAAAGATTGGATATTACTGCAATAATTATGTAATAGGAAGATTATTATCACATAGAGTTTCTAGGCAATTCTATCTATTCGCATTTATACGTCATGTGTCGCGCTTCACAAAAATAATATCGTTCGCCAAGTTATCCGGATGCTCCACAAAACTGTAAACGTAGTATCCTCGATGTTCCATCATATCGATCAGATATTTTCGCCCCTTTGCATTGTGTATGTATTCCACAGAGAGGGTCTGAAACACACATGGTATTATATCTCATGATCATCGTACCGTAGAAATTATTATGTTCCATTTCCGGCAGAAGAGACACAATGAGTAATCTTACGTCAGTCAGTCGCACGAACGAATACGCGAAGATCCCGAATTTGGACCAAGTCCAAAGGCCGTACCTTTATGTCTACCTCGTTAAACGGTATCGTTTCCAATACGTCGATCTCATTGCCTTCGATGTCGAGGCTGAAATAATCGATCGTTTTGATTCCCAATGCGGCGATATAAAGTGTCAAAGGAAAACACTGCACGTGGATGTGCTCGCCCGTGTAAGCCACGTCGAGCGTGTTCGTCGACACATTCTCCGTCGTGTTCTCGGGTTTGTGTAGACGGCCCACGTTTCTCGCCATGAGGAAAGATGCCTGCAATTTCGAGGAGCTTAATATATATCTTTTTTTTTTTAAATTCGCCCGAGTCTAATCTAAGATATCGAGATAAAAATTAGCGCTCGGGTTTCGTGGTAGCGCGGCCTCAAAGTCGCCGTTACCGATGATAAATCGTCGTTATTCCTTACCACCGTGGGGCTCCTAGTGACGCTGAGGCATGTCGGCGAGAGATAGGACCTTCTATTCTTCTGCAGCATCTTCGTAAAATTGATGGGATCCGCTTCTATCAGGAGACCCGACCATCCATTAAATCGCTCGAGAAACAACGTGTTGCTACGCGTTTCCCCGTCATACGCGCCGCATTCTATGAAAAATCCATTTTTCTGTAGAGAGCAATAAACGAAATTCGGTGTTCATTAATACGCAAAGAATCGAATCGAGTCGGAGTCGAAGTCGTTATCATATATCCATCGAACCGCTTATTTTTGCGAAACTCGAGTTTATTTCTTGTATCTTCCACGAAATTACGAACGGAATTTTACCTTGTCGTTGAAAATTTCGCGTACCGCAGTCGATTGTCCCATCGATGGGTCTTCGATATCCGATCTCTGAAGTATATATGATTCTTTTGGATTATAATTCCATATTATCCAATTTTGATGAATATCCGATAGAATATCGTGAAAAACTTCCGGACTCAGTGTAGATAAATTTTTATTGTTGTACCATGCTTCACCTAAATAATACTTCGTGTTAATAGTTTTTAAAAACCTAGTTTTCAATAATTAAGAAAAGATGTAAATTGTAAACTACATGTACATAATATACTATACAAATATTATTTTATGAATATTAATGAATTCTTCTTAACATTCTTTTGAAACAGATATTTTTTTGATAATTTTATATTTATATACATATTTTCATAAATATCCACGATAAAAAAGCAATATGAAAGGATCTGTAATAAATTTATATAAAAATGACTTCCATTATATTAGAGCAAATAATTAAAATATCCGCATGAGTTCATAAAATTCAGTTAATTATTATACTGTCACTATTCGAGTTATCAAAGTTTTTAATCAAATGTATTCCAAATGTAAAAATGATATATCTTTCTGAGGTAAGTAAAAAAATTAAAATTACATACTTACATAATTAAATATATACATTGCATAAAATATATACGTTGCATGTTACAAAATATAAAAATCATTTTGCAATATATATATATATATATATATATAGTTTTTTTATATACATATTAAATTTATTCAATAATTTCATTCAATTAACGGAATACTTATATAAATTAATAAGAAATTATGACTTATATATATCTCTTTTTATATTTTAATTGTTGTTAATAATTTTAAATAACTGTTATTATTATACGCGTTTGTTATTTGCGTAATAGAAGCGCGTACAGAATGGTATGCTGTACTGATTGTCGCGTGTTACGAATGTTATATATTCGCGCATCGCATTTTACTAATTATATTTGCAAGTTACTACACTATAGTAAAAGAGAAATAGAAATAGAGATGTACAAATAATGCAATTATTACATATTCGATGTTTAAACTTTCTGGAAAACGAGCTCATTTCTGTGAAACCCAATGTTACTTCCGATTTGTATTTCCTTGAAATAAAACCCGTTCTTTCCCGCTTGGGAATCAATAGAAGATTACTTTAGAAAATTACTTTTAGGTATTACAGCTGTACTGTTTGTTATATATTGTTGTATATAGATACATATACAAAGTGTCTCATATTTTACAACTGTATTACCTTTTCCGAGCAAGTAGAATGGTTTGTTTTAAGTTGCAAAATTCTTTATCATTTTGCAAGTTTCGCAATTACTGAATTATTAATAAATAAAGGTTTGATTTATAAATGATAAATTCATTTGTGATGCACACCTTCAAATATATCGCGCAATCGCGAGCATATGTTCTTCTCCCTGTTAAATTGCACGAATACACATGCTTATTTGTAGACTTTTATAAATTAATAACTCATTGGTAAGTGCAAAACTCGCAAAATAATAGAGGATTCGGTATTTTTCGGTACAATCCGCTCCACTTGTTCACGAGAGGTAACATTCAGTTGTGATCAGACATCTTATATAAAACCTATTCACTGTATTTCACTGAAGCAAACCCACACACATCTCATCATGCATTCATTAAATACAATCTAATAAATTACAAACGATTAGAGCCACTTACCGTTGGAAAAATTGTACCACGTGCGCAACACTGTAACAGCAGTAGAGAAAAATATATTGACAAAAACAATAAGAGAGTAAATGAGAGTCAAGTATGATATTTTTGTGCTAAAATTAATTTTTCTATAAATAAATTGTCAAATCTAAAATACATCGCTATTAATAACTTTAATATAAAACATAAAATACAAAAAACGCCAAACGCCAAATGTTTTGGTTTATTTTTCAATTATTTTCAACGGTGATACAATTAACAAAAGAATATACTGCCTGTATATCTTTACAAAACAAAGAATTGTTTCCTCAAAGGAAGAGAAAGAACACATCTGGAAGAAATTCTCACCTGTTTGATAAAGGTCTGCAGATACATCATCTAGGTACGTATCACGTATCATTACGTTCTTCTCGTTGACAAACGGATACCTGGTGAAAAGTACGACGATAATGACACTCAAAGTCAACGCGAACAGAAAAATCCATTTTCGACGCCAGCAAAAGTTTGACATTCGTGTGGGTACACGTTGATAGTTATACGCGTTAGTTGGCATCTCACGGGAGATGTCAAGAGCGATGCCGAATCGTTACTTCCACTTTGTCACGAGTCGGCGAAATGCGAGAACTCGGCAGCCAGCCGCGGGTTTTGCATACGTGCGGCTTATCGTCGACGTTTAAACACCGTTTACCGCATCGCGAATGCCTCGTCTAGAGAAATAGGACTAACTGTGACGTAATCATTTACAGCTATTCGATAATCCAAACATTTGTATTTTTATATACGCCGAATAAAATTATGATAAATATAGTATGATAAGTATTATGATAAGCGAAATTTTTTTTTTGATAAAATCGAACTTGCAATTTCGAAATTATTTACACTTATGCAATACTACAGTCGACCTTCGCAGGTGTTACATAAAATTAAAGAGCGGATCACGGATGTATAGAATTCGCTATAATCTGTTGCGCACTACTGGACATACGATAATAATTATCAATCGTATATGTAAAGTGTCTAATTTTATCTGTAGAATATAAATCTGTTTCCTTATTTAGCACTTTTACTTGATTTTCTTTATGTTAAAATGAAATTTGACCTTCATGAAAATTGGAATGGAATGACAAAGAAACGAAAAATGAAGTATAAATGTATAGATTTTCAATTGAGAAACGATCGGAAGAACGTTAACGGAACACCTGTGGAATATCAACAATAATACCATATTTTATACACATAGACATTTTATACACACAGACATTATTCATACAGATGATAAAATATCGTACAGACAGACTCGCAAATTGTTTTTTTTTTTTTTAATTATAATCTTTCAACCGACCAAAAATATTTCTCGTTACGATTTTTATTTTGTTTTATAATTGTCGTATTGAAGATCTAATTTAAAGTCGAAACGACTTCTGTATTTTTCGATATTATTTCATTTATTATAAACAATATTTTAGTACTAAGATTCGGCTTTAGTTTAATTCATTTTATAATCTTTCAATTTTCAAACATGAATATGAAACTGTAATAAAAATTTAGTCCTAAAATAATTAATTGACGACTAACGAGAATGATAAAAAAATCAATAAGTTAGAGATAAAAATTGAAATAAAAATAAGAAATTTAGTTTACCGATAAGAATAATAAGTAATAAAATGATTTTGTTTATTGAATCTAAAAAGCATATTAAAAAAATTCAAAAACTGTTTATATATATTTAAATATATAAAAATATATAAAATATATAAAAATATATAAAAAGTAATATGATATATATATATATATATATATATATATATATATATTATATTTATAGCTATGAACACACGAATTAATTATACAACAGTTTATGTTCATATCTTAATAAAGCACCGCGCTTTGAATTATTCATTTCTTTCTATTACCATATTTACTTCCGCCTTTATACGAAAGTTTAATAAAACTTTTAAGTTCCTTCAAGACAAACTAAAATATATTTCTAAGAGATGTTTAGTTGTTAAAAAGTTTTAAAAGTGATTAGATTAACGCAACATGTTCCCGTTGCATTTTGTGGAGTTTCCGTTTCGTTCGTCCTGCCAAAATTGCCATTGGTCCGCGAATCACTGTTCATCTGAACGGACAAGGATTTTTGTCGGATCTTTACACACAATGGTCAATTTAGCGAGCACAAGTTCGTCGAAGAGTTAAATTTTTAGAGTTAAAAACGGAATCGACGGAATGCGTGATACACAAGAAACTTTTCATTTCGAGGCACGAGGCAACCCGAGGTTACCAGTGAACCAGATGAATGCATCGCGCGGCTTCGACACGCGAGGTAAATTTAGCATTGGGCGTTTACGTGAGAACGTTGTGTCACGGTTTGCGAATCAACGACGCGAACGGAACGACGTTCGAATGATGTCACTTTCGGACATCTCCGAAATGAAATGCGCGGATGGCGAAAGAGCGAAGCGGAGGCTCGCCGCTCGTCGTCGTATCCCGATCACGAATATTATACAGTGCCGTCGACACTGAGCACGAAGATACTCTTTGGAGCTACTCTATCTGTACATATGCTGTGAATATATGTCCTGTGTGTGTGTGTGTTTATACAGGGTGTCCCGGAATAAATGATTTGTTTTTTATTTAAATGATTTATTTTTAATCCTTGGCGGTACGTTTGATAACCAGTTTATTATAAATGTCAAATTCATTTGAACTTATAATAAAGCTTCTACGTTTCATGGATTAAATTTCTAACTTAGAATTGTATATTTGTTAATTCCTTTTTTTTTAAATATTAATATTAAATATTATTAATATAGTTATGTGAAAAGAAGGAGAAAATATATTAACAAAATATATTTATAAGTAAACTATTCTTTTTCTTTTTCTAGATATATGCATACATACGTATATGTTTATGATAATTTTTTTATGAAAAAAATCCAAATTTTCAGAGAGTCAGATTATCGGAAAGGGAAGAACAAATGATGATTGATACTTTGATAATTATTTCTTCAAATATGCATTCAGCATCCGTCAATTAATGTTAATGACGAATCCAAAAAAATGTGAAAATCGATTTTTCTTTAATTATAAAATAATTTATTTATTATTAAAAATTTTTAATATTAACATTCAATCTTCCAAAACAAATTTGGCATAAAAAGTATGATTAACTTTATAATATATATTTATAATATATTGAAATTTTTTTAAATGCAAATTTCATGCAAAAATAAAAAAATTGAAAAAAATAATCTTTAGACGATTTACTTATTATTTGATTTGCAATGAAATAGCCATGTGGTGTACGAATGTATAGTAAGAGTGAAAATGAAAATAATATAGCCTGTTCACTCCCACGCATATTAAGCGCAACGTGTGTGTGAATTACATACAAGATTAATTTCTTCCTAAGATGGATTGACCTATCTGTCATTAACGAATGTTATTACTAATATTAGACATCGGCATGTGGTCTCTGTTAAGAGCGAAAATACAATGTAGAGGAATGAGGACTTCTTTACGTAAGAAAAGCGCCTCGTATGTCTTTGCGTAATGCACCGCGATGACAAACGATGACTCGCAAGGTATTTGTCAGTATTGTCAGTTAGCATTTTTTTTTCAATTTGTATATTATAATAAATATTGTCTTGCATAAAGTTTATCTGTGACGCAGACATGATAACAAATTGTTGAAATATTTAATTTAAGTAAGTAAAAGAAGAAATATGACAACCGATGATATTTTGGCGATTTGCATAAACTTTTGCTGGTGAATGCAAGAGTTTGCGATTTAAATCGATAAAAGGAGGGAAAAAATAAAAATAAAATGGAAATGAAATTGAAAAAGATATTACAATTCTTAACAATTTTTTATTAAGTACAACATTATTAGACATTTTATTTTACAATAATTATGATCAAATTTTGTAATGTTAAATATGATTTATATTAATTTATTATATATTTATTAGCACTAAACATCGGGAAGAGCGTTGATATTGCCGACCGTTCTGCGCTATTCGACATGAATATAATATTGCATTTATATAAATGCAATAATTAATTTTACAATTTAAAATTATGTTATATTTTGTAATTGTACGCTGCATCGTATTATATATTTTTGCAAAAATTTATTTATAGTTGAGAACAGTCGATAATATCGATTACACTCTTGAACTATCTCCGAGACCACGTGACAACCACGTGGTAATCATAAAAATTAATTCAAAATTAATAATACTTTTCGATGTTGCATTTTGAGTGTATTCAACATTAAATATGTTAAAAGATATTCTAGGGAATCTTTATAAACTTAGAAAAACTTTTTCTTTAACTTCAGACACAATATATACTTATCTTTCTAATAGCTCGTGAATAATTTTTATCTGTTAAAAATGAAGATATATTTTTTATCGATGTACCAGCACATAGCCGATATTAAATCAATTACAGTTTCAAGGAAATTTGTGTCGACACAAGCGGACTATACATTTCACGTTCGATAAAAAAACATTCAAAAATTCAAATATTTGAAGAAAAACGTTTCGATGAAGTTTCAAATTTGAAGAAGGTTTGGAGCACAGTGATCGAACGCTTCGCGGACACCCTATATTCTATCTCGTCCGTCGCGTATATCTGCCTTTTTCCCGTTCGACAAACGTCATCGGCTTTCGTCGTAGTCATCCACAGCGACGGCGGCGACAGCGGTGATCATCACATGATTTTTGACGTTGTAGCGCTGCTTGCACCGTCGTTTCGAACATGGCCGCGGCACAATGCGAGACGAACGAGGGCACCTCGACGGACCTCTTGAAAACGCCGGTATTGTCGGACGAAGCCGTCAACGCGATCCGCAGGGATGAAGACTCCGGGATTCCGTTGCAGACGCCGTGGACTTTCTGGCTCGACAAGTGAGAATAAACTCAGTGATTTCCATTTTTAACATTCGCCGCGCGACGCATCTCGCTGGTGCATCCCGATCTTATTGTCGGCGCTCTTGTCAAACGTTGACAATGCGAATGTCGTTCGCGAGAAGTGCCGTCCAAGGATCACTCCAGTGACCAGTCACTTCCGATCTCCTTTTGTTTAAATAACTTCGCTTGCAATAAAAATACGCGATTGAAATGAATTTAATGTCTTCGTAAACGTACGTCATATTTTTGCCTCCGCAACCGCCATTGCGTCACCGAAGAAGAGTTCATTTGTGTATCATATCTCCTCTGTTCCTTTTAATGAAATATGACACATTCGTTATCATCGCTGTGTAAACCAAGGAAATATAAAACAAATATTTAATTATATATTTATACGAGATGTTCCAAGAATCTAATCAACCATGAAGAACATTGGGTTGAGTAAATAATGTATTTAAATTCTTTTGTGATGATTGTGCACTTTTGCAAATTAAATATTTTACATATATTGTATCAATTGTTGTGACATAGGTAGATAATAATTACATAATAGTTTGTTGCACAGTGATTTGTTTCTACGTAAAATAAAATGTTAAGTTTCGTTCTTGATTTTAATTTGTGAAACTTAACGAATCTAAAAAATTTAAATGTACTAATATATTTAGATGATTATGAATAATTTCATAGCTATATAATTGTTTGATAATATAACATTATGCTCTAATAATAGATTCTGGAAATGTTCGAAGGATATCGCAAAAGTAAATTATTTATATATTTTTCATATTTGAGACATATGCTACGTTATATAAAAATATATTGTATATGTCTTATTTTTTTATTTTCTTTAATATGAATTGAGATTGTATTTGAATATATAACAATCTGAGACATATATATAATAATGTATAATAAAGAAACATATATTTCTTTATTATACTGAAAATAGATTAGATATATTCCTTAGATAATAAGAAAACTTTAACGTGCAAACATTTTCTTACAATTTTTATATATTACTTAATGTATATCTCGAATATAAGAGATAAATCGAATTTATTTTTATAAATATCTTTCGAATATTTTCAAAATCTATACACGTGATTAAGATTGTTTGAAATATTTTCTATTATTATACTGACATTGGATTTTATTCTTGGCAGTATTAGTAAAAATCAGTAAAAAATTATTAGTTTTATTTTACAGTTGATCTAATTTATTATTTTCATTTTAATTGTGATTCTTTGTCGTTTATTGAAGTTAGAAAGACGTAGATGAAAGATGAAAGATTCAAGATTGAAGTTGGAAAGACGTAGATGAAAGATGAAAGATTCAAGAACTATATTAATTTTTATCATAAACCTGTTGCTAATTTTAAAAAAATTGTTGAATCGATAGAGCCATCCCTGGTACGACTACCGAAGAGTATAAAAACAATCTGCAAAAGATTTATACCGTAAATACTGTCCAAACTTTCTGGGCAGTCTTCAACAACATACCAAATGCCGGAGATATGCAGGTAATAATAAAAATCTATACGCTAAACAAATTAATATATGTAATTTTGCGGAACAACAAATATTTTTTTAGTGCAGAATACATTTTTTATGATTCATTAAATGGGAAAAGTTATTAGAATGGGAAAGTGGGAAAAGTTATTAGAATTTGTTATATTTGTAATTGATACTAATTATGTTATTTTTTAGATAATTAGAAATATGCATTTAATTACATTATTTAATTATTTGCTCTTTACCACTTATCATTTATGTTTCGTTAAGTTATTCGTTTAACTGTTCTTATCGCCAGGTTAGATACAGTTATCATTTAATGAGAGACGACAGATATCCTTTATGGGAAGACAAATTGAATCAAAAGGGTGGTACCTGGAGATTGAAGTGCCATAAATGTGATACTGTAAATATTATTTATTTATTTATGTGGGCATCAATTTTTATTCAGATCAGTCTTATTATTTTATCTAAAATAAAATATTAATTTTTATATCGATATTTTTATATCAATATTTCTTTTCTGACAAGTATTTTATTTTTCAGGAACGTGTATGGAAAGAAGTAGTGCTTGCAGCTATCGGAGAACAGTTTGCAACAGACATAGCGCAAGACGATGAAATCTGCGGAATGACGGTATCCATTCGTGATCGGGAGGATCTCATTCAAGTACGTATGTTGTAAATCGAAGAATAGACGACAATGTTTAAAATCTAATCTAATTAAATGAATTTACAAATATATAATATGTTTGTTTATCTCTTCAGATTTGGAACGTAAACGCCGATCTAGTATCGAAAGCCACAGTTTTATCCAAAGTTCGTTCTCTGGTGCCTAATGTAAACTTCCTGGGAGAGTTTTATAAGCGTAAGTACTTTATTTTTGTCAACATTTTTTTCTATTAGAAAATTTATAGTACAAAATTTATAGAATAAAATGTTTATTTTTTAGCTCATAAATCCCATCACGCATATGGAAGACATTAAATATACAGTAACATTGTGATGAAGATGTTGAATTGTTAAATATATTATATGAGATTATGACAATAACGAACATTTATTTATGTTAACTATAAATAATGTTCGTATTATCGTAATATGAACAAAGTCTCTTCTGAAAAACTCGGCGCACAAAGAATATATCAAAGGAAGAGCATTGTCATTAGATATATATGTGTTTTAAAAGTTTGTTACTTGTGAATTTTGTTTAATGTGCGTTATTTGATGCCTTGTTTACATACTGGATTCGATATATTTTAAAATCGAATTGCTGTTGTAACCGTTTTACAAACGCGAAATATATTTTTATATTTACAATGTGTATTTGTTTATATTTCTCAATGCTATATATTTTTAAAACGCTATATATTTTTCTTTGCGTAGAATCTTCTTATAATCATATGTAGTTCACCACATATAAAAAAATACGGTATGATAAGTTGATTAGGCTGAGTGGATTATTTACGGAATTTGCAGACAGTGATTTGTTTCATCTACGCGCATTTTATGAGCGATAAACAACGCACCTACACGAGATAGAGATTTACGTAGGAAGGAAGAGGATGTCTGGCGCCTACCGCCTATTGTGTTATTGATTACGATTCATTATTCACCTTCGAAAATTTATTAATAACGCATCAAAAGTGACATTTAAAATTCTCGAGAAAATAATGCAAAATCACCTTACAAGATGATTACATGCATCTATTAGCACACATAGAAATTAAATTGACCCTGAATTTTATGAAGACCTCTAGAGAAAACGTGTTTGTGTATGCCAAAGACTACATTAGTAAAGACCTTACCATGTAAGTTGCTTATCGTGTTCTACGAATGATTGTATTGATATTTGTTTTATTCTCGCATTAACAGTTTTTAATTTATAAAATAATAGCCAATGTAAATTTATAATTTATTTCTTCTTTTGAAAGTTCTAACAACTATTTATCTGAAAATTTTTAACAGTGAATCCATATTATAAATTTAATTTGAAAACTATAATATGAATTAAATTAGATAGAAAAATAGGATAATTTTTTGTTTTATATGTTTAACAATATAAAGAAATCTTCATCTTCTCTCCAGAAATAAAAATAAAAAATTCGTCAATTGGACTGAATGTTATGAATTCGATAAATGCACGAAATTCCTTTAGATCAGAGGCCAATTAATATCATCCAGAAACTCTTTTGAACATTGAAAAACAAATTTGAATGTTTAATTAGTCCCTGTAGAAAGCTGGTAACATCACCCGACTACTTGGCGCCGAGTTAACATTTTACGATGTTTCCCTGACATTATTCACGTTTGACGTCAACGAGAGGCTACCTCGAAGATAAAACGCAAGTTTAGTCAAACAGCCAATATCTATTAGACTAGTTTTAAGTCAGACTTAAATTATGTTCCCAATTTGCATTTTTCGACGTTTACGTCGAGTATCGACGGAGTGTCACTCGAAAAAACGTCATTGAGATTCGATCATTCACACTGTTTGTACGTATTATTTTTACAATAATTAAATACATCGCACATTACGTACTATTTCTTTTAATCAAGATAAGTTATCTCAGAAAAAATTAATACTGATTAAAGTTGGAGAAAGATTAATTACATACATCAACGTGTGCAAATAATGTTTATAAATGACGATACAATATTTACAAATTACAATATTTACGAATGACGAGAAGAAACCTCGTGTCCGAGATAAATTTCATTTTGTGCGTATTAACACATTCGACATCTTAATATTTCTGTACTATTTAATCAGCAATATTAATTTTCCGAAATAGAAAGTTTGGCCGAAGAAGTAAAAGTTTTTCTTCTCTCTCTTAAAAAATATTGACTTAACGTTTCGAGTTTGCGTTCAGCCGGTCTGCAAATTTGGACTGCCGCACACACAGAACCGGAACTATTCCCAAATGGAAAAAAAAGAAAAAGAAAAAGATGTTCATCTATCACGGTTAAACGGACCAAATCTTCTCTTTTGGTGTGGCGAATAAATCACGGCGCATCGCAGAATCGTCGGCCTTGCACACGTCCTTGCCATTCGAAAGACACGTGTGCACAACTGTGTGGGCGTATGAATATTATCCACGTTACGAATATCTCTTTTTTGAGAGACAGAGAGAAAGAGAGAGAGAGAGAGAGAGAGAGAGAGAGAGAGAGAGTGTGTGTGTGTGTGTGTGTGTGTGTGTGTGTGTGTGTGTGTGTGTGTGTGATATGACACCGATTTGGAGTTTTATTACTCCAGTGCGTAAAAGTTTCTCTCGCATCTGAGTCATCATCGACAATTATCTTCAAAACAGTTAGTTATTCTCATAAGAGAGTCGCAGCGCTCATAATCAATCCATCAGTAAGTCACTTCCTCCTATGAGTGAACTATTGTTACGCTTCGAGGATTTTTCTCATAAATTTAGGTATTATATAATCATAATTGAATTGCATAATTTAATTTTAATCTAAAGTTTCTTGCCTCTGGCAACCGCAATATAATTTTAAAAGCTTATATTGTGATTATGTAGCAATATAAATATCACAAATTGTGTAATAAATTAATATCTTTCTTCATCAGAGTGCGGTCGGCTTTTCCTCCCGAAGGAATTTATAAAATAATAAGAATCAAATCCATCAATGCAACGGGCTCGAATATCCGACATATTTCAGCTTCGCAGAGAATAAAGAGATTACCGTCGGAATAGCAAAGAGTATAAGAAATGCTTCTGCTTATTCGCGAACGCTCTACTATTTCTGCGTGCTGAAAGAAGAGGATCAGAAGAGGAGAATTAGTGGGAGTAAATTTTAAATCACCAACCGGATTAACGCCGCAATCGCCTCGGCACCACCAGACCAATCTAGCATGCGTCGCTCATTATAATTCAACTAACTGTCTGACCAGAACCGTCGGTCCAGGATCTTCTCTCGGGTAGAATGTTCAAAGATACGGGATTTCCTGATTACGGAATGGCGCCGCGCCGCGTGGGCCAAGTATGCATATACGTGACGCCACAGACGTACTGTTACTATATATGCCTTCGTGTGAAAAAATTTAATCGAAATTTCACGCACCCACGCGCGACCTATCGTTCGGGAAGTCAAAGGCCTTGCGGGGAATTTTGCTAAACGATAAAAAAAAGGGCCTTCCCTGGCGCGACGTTATTTATCGCATTTTCTTTTTATCTACGTTCCAATATATAAATTTATCGATGCACGCATATAAAACAGGATCTAAAAATGTCTATAGTATTACACAAGATATTGGTTAACCGGATAAATATACCGGTCGATGTGCAAGCGTGTGAAAATTAATTTGTATATTTAAAAAATGCTTGGAAAATGTATGTGTCGCGATTTTCTTTTTTCTTATGCCTCTTTGTTTTTTTTCGCGTTTATGGAATTTCCAATAAAAAATCTCTAATTACTGCCTCATTGTCGTATTGTTTTTTTTTTCATTTTTTTTTTTTACTTCGTGTAATTATCACACAGGCATTGTTACGCGCCGTCGCGCGTGGAAATAAAGCGATTATTAAAGAATAAAACCGGCACAGAATCGTCGCATTATCATGTCGAAAAATCATAAATATCGTTGGATCCTCGTCGAGAAATTCGACTTTTTGATAATTGCCAATAAATTAGTTTATCCCCATTTCGTAGAAGCGATAATTAATATGAGTAATCTGCGCTTTATATCGTGATTTACTTGACAATGCTCAGATACGGCCTTCAGAGAGACCGAGTGATTATGTTTTTGCGAACAAAATAAACACGTTCGCCACGGAATGTGCGGATTCTTACTTCATACCCGCGCGGTTCGCCCGCTCGCCTCCATCCAATAAATTATTATTCCATTTCGATGTATCCATCTCGCGGAATTCCCTATCAGACTTTGCCAGTCATTAATCAGTCGTAACATTGTTCTCGTCACCGGTTTCTGCATTCCTTTGCATGATGATCACGATGACGATGACGTTGCCTCGTAAAACCTATAATTTTGTAGGACGTCCTCGCCTTGTTATTTAATATTTGCGAATTACGGCCGTAATCACTGATTGATCATCAGCCATCGTCACTATTGACCATCCAGAACTCGCGTGCTCTTTGTTTCTTTTTTTTTTTTTTTTTTTTGAACTAATTATTAGTCGAAGGTCAACCGGTAATGTGCCTGATAATTTCCGGCTCGTTTTCGCGAAGTCGTAACGCGATATTTTCTGCAAAACAGCTATATGGGCATTTCGATTATTATCATTATTATCATTATTATCTTCGTTGCCGTTGCCGTCGTTATAACTCGATGACCTAAAACGAGAGAATTACGCGAATTTCTGATCCATTCCTATGCACGATGATCCCTCTGAAAAAGATGAGAAATCCTGATCACCGAAACTGGAATTGTATCCCTGTTTCTTTTTTTATTTTTATATGACTTATGTTAATGCGATGACTCGGATCCACAAGTGAACACGCCGTCATCGATCGATCGTTGGACTGAGAGAAGTGCGTATCCGGTAATGATTACATCGACCGGAACGCAGTTCTCCGCACGTGTTGCTTGCAAATTGTCGAGACGCATGATGAAAAATTTGTTTGAGCTGTACAAGAAGAAAAACATTCTATTCGATTACACAAAAAATTCTATTTTTCTTATAAATTTTATGGGAATTATCTAAAATTTAGAATTTATTTAATAAATAAAAAATAACATGGATAAATATTGAATTTTTTATGTAAATAAATAATTTAATTATTTTTACATAATAAGTAATTAATTAAATATTAAATAAAGTATTAAATAAGATATAACTTTATAAATTATATTAATATATTATTTTATAGACATTTATATTATCTTTATGTTACTTTATAATATTTAAATTTTTTTCTGAATCAAGTGCTGTTTAATTAAACTGTCTATGCAGTGAATATGTAGAATTAAACGTTGAATGTTATATATGTATAATGAAATATCATATTTTCATCCTTTAAAATTTTACATTATGCAATGTGGTAAAAAGGAAAATCGAAAAACAGGAAATGATTTTCAATTCCCTTTTTGAACCACTTCCGCTTTCTCGCCCTTCTGCATTCCGTTGCAATCGATGGGCACGAGAATCATTGTTGCGCGAAACGATCCACGCTACAAATCCCTAATGCGTCGAATAGATACTCGATTACTACGGTTAAATTTGAGTGATGTAACTGCAGTGGTCAGTCTGATCCAGATGTCGAAACTACTAGTTATCGGGCACATTACCGGTTTGTGGTGAGCTAAGGTTTTTGACACTTCGTAACTGGGAAGGAAGTAAATCTGCGCGAAAAAATAAA